TATATATATATATATACTTTGCTGGTTTTTGTGTTTCTCTAGAGAACCCAATCCAACACACTGATTGACATATTTCAACAAATGGATGAAACTCTGGAAGTGCTCACTCATTTATGCCAAGAAATGTGGAAGAGAGCTATCTGGCCAACCTACTGGAAGCTATCCATATTTGTGCCCATTCTAAAGAAAGGTGATCTGACTGAATGTGGAAATTATCAAATAATATCATTCATATCACATACAAATACAATTTTTTTCTGAAGATAATTCAAAAACAGTTGAAGAGTACATAGAAAGAGAATGACCAGAAATTCAAGCCAGACCCAGAAGAGGTCTTGGAAGGAGGAATATCTTTGCTGATGTCAGATGGATCTTGGCTGAAAGCAGAGAATACCAGAGAGATGTTTATTTGTGTTGCATTGACTATGCAAAGGCATTTGACTAAGTGGAACATAGCATATATATTATGGATAATATTGTGAAGAATGGGAATTCCAGAACACTTAATTCATAGACCAAGAGACAGTTGTTCAAACAGAACAAATGGACAGTGTCTGGTTTAAAATCAGGAAAGATGTGTGTCAGCATTGTGTCCTTACATCATACTTATTCAATCTGTATGCTGAGCAAATAATCTGAGAAACTGGGCTATATGAGGAAGAATATGGCATCCGAGTTGGAGGAAGGCTCATGAATAACCTTTGATACACAGATGACACAATCTTGCTTGGTGTAAGCTAAGATAACTTGAAGTTCTTACTGATGAATATCAGACTACAGCTTTCAATATGGATTACATCTCAACACAAAGAAGGCAGAAATCCTCACAACTGGACCGATAAGCAACATCATGATAAATGAGAAAATAGTGAAGTTGTCAAGGATTTCATTTTACTTTCATCCACAATCCATATCCATGGAAGCAACAATCAAGAAATCAAATTATATATTGCATTGGGCAAGTCTGCTGCAAAAGACCTTTTTAAAGCGTTAAAAAGCAAAGACATTTCTTTGTGGACTAAAGTGTGTCTAACCCAAACCATCGCATTTTTATTCCCTCATATGCATTTGCAATAGCAAAACAATGCATAAGGACAACCTTAAGAACTGATGCCTTTGAATTACGGTGTTGGCAAAGAATATTGAATATACTATGGACTGCTAGAAGAATGAACAAATCTGTCTCGGAAAGAGCCAGAATGTCTCTTAGAAGTGAATATGATGAGAGTGGTGAGAGTTGATCTCAGGTGGTTTGGATGTGTTATTAGGAAAGAGTCCCTGGAGAAGGACATCATGGTTGGTAAACTAGAGGGCCAGTGAAAAAGAGGAAGACTCTTAATACGATTTGACACAGAGTTGCCACGATGGGCTCAAACATAGCAATGATTATGAAGATGGCACAGGATTGGACAATGTTTTATTTTGTTGCACATGGATTCAGAATCAACTTGATGATGTCTAACAGAATAAATAGCAACAACATATCTCACTTGAAGAATGTACAAATATTGTCTTTTAAAAATTGGTAGCTGCTTTTTTTGGTGAACAAATGGTTTTATTTATTTACTTAATTGTAATTTGGGTGGAAGTTTACACAACAAATTCATTTTCCATACAACAATTCATACACATTTTGTTTCAAACCTCTCTTTTCACTTCCTCCCAGTGGTTACATTGGCCCTGTGTCCTTCTTTCCTATGCATTCCTGCCCTCTGACCTATCTCCCAAGTGTAAATACTACCTTCTGATCGCCCATGGTTGATTGTTCTATGCAGTGTACCTACCTACTGTAAATGTTCACCTTATATGCCTGTCTTTTGTTTGGTTGGAAGGGTGTAGCTGCTTTTGAGTTCTCAAATAGCAGAATCATTCATTTCTCTACTAGTGCATATTATAATTCTTTGATTATTATTTACATAGAAGTTTGCTTTGTTTTTGTTCAATGATTGTAAAGGACATGAATTGTCCAAAGATAGATCAGATTGTGTGATGTGAATTGAGATTCAACACCATAATTGTGTGTACTCAAGTTAACATAAACTAGAATGATTGAGGGAACTAATATAGTGTTCAGATAAATATGAACAACTGTGCCCCAAAGATCCAAATTATGAACTCAGCTCTGAACTTA